CCAAACTCCCCCAAAATAACTTTAACTTTGTTAAACTAAAATTACAGATAGCATTTTACTGATGAGGTTCCTCTGGTACTATACAAGGTAACAAAAAAACCAAGCATTTTGTCAAATCTCCACTAACAAAGGGCGACTGCTAAGTCACTCGAATAAGTAATACAACCATGACAAAGACTAATGTCATCACAAAGATCAAAAGCCATTGGAAGCATGTAGTCTTGAAGCTTCGGGAATACACATCCATAGCCCTGGAAGTTGCATGCCCTGTACTTGCTAGGCTATGCTCAACTGCTTTCTCAGTTGAATCAAGTATCTGCATCCACATTATATGTGACAACAACTAAGAGGCCAATATACACAAAGTGACCAAGTTTAATAAGAGACAAAAGGAAAACATTATAACTGGACAAGATAACTCAGAATCCAAGTGAATCCAAACAGATTGAACACTGAAGTATTCCATTTCTTATTTCACACAGAACTAGTAAAGAATCATCAAACATGTAGTAATGCCAGAGTTAAGACTAATAAATAAATGTTGTGTGCCAGAAAAGATGGTATCAGCTACCAAATAGTCTCAATTGCCTCCTTCAGGCAAAATAGTTTATATGATTTGGAGACGGCAAAATCATCTCAAAGCAAAAATTGCTGAGATAGTTCCCAACAATTTAAGCAGGGTGGAAAGAAATGGAGTATAAAACTTACTTTCTCAGTGTTTTTGATGGATTGATTCATCACGAGACTACTCTCTTTGAGCTGCCGTGCTAAAACAACCATTTCATCAGTCAAGTCCTCCTGAAGTTTCCTGCAAAAGATGAGAATATCTGATAATTGATCAGGACTCTCCCTAACTACCCTCACCCCTCTCCAGAGAAAAGAAAAGCTGCACAAATAAGTGATTAATTTCTCTTGTAACTTTTCTCCTACAACGGAAGAAAACTGGACAAACATATACGTAGCAGCAAAATGCAGCTGTAAGTCTATTATCTGCCTCCATTCACAAAAGCATATTGAGAATCAGACTAATTTAGTAAATGCTAATTTCAACCTTTCAACTAGCTTTGTTAGTATGTTATCAATAAAACATATATAAAACTTATGGAATATAATCTTCTAATTGCAACGCCCTTTCTTTTTTGCATTAACTCAATGAAAGAAGCATTAAAGCTCCTTCCTATGATGTTGATCAAGCCAGATTTCAGAGCAGCCCCCACCTTTAATGAAAGGCAATTTTCAAACCATCAGTCTGAAGACTCCAACTATAGTTTAAGCAAAAGGTGTTGGAGCTTGATAGGCTCTATATTGCATTGATCATTTATTTATTTACTTATTGTGATAGAAATGTGTGTGTCAAACAGTGCGTACTGCGAGTGTGGGCATTTCATGTGGATTCTTAAAAATACACTATAAATTAGCAAAAAAAGACTGCCTGTGTAGCCAAGTCCATCAAACATAACTGGGAATTGGGGTGCATATAACCTCAGAGCTAAGATTAGTTTAGTATGTCAAATTGATGCAATTTCAGAACACTCAAAGCACAAAAAGAAATTCTAAAACTTACACAAATGAAGATGAACAGTTAGCTAAAAGATACTTCTCTTCAGCTCAATCAATTTGAAATGCTACCTTAACTAGAATGTCAAAACTGCCAACCTACATCATCTAAGAGAACTTCAGAAAGGCAAGCTGTTACCCATACAGCATATACCTGATAGGCCAACAAAGTGAAAGAATTGTATGTAGCTCATAAAGGCTTACTCGGTGTGCTCCATCTCTTCTACTTAGTAAATAAAAGAGAAAAAAAAAAGAAATGGAGTATCCTAAAAGAAAGGATTATCATGCTTCCTTTATACAGGGACTTTTCTGGTTATATTTTATAGCATATCAACTATTTTTTCTAATAAGTAAAGAAGAGCACATACCCACTGTCACTTTTAATCACATGGAAAGCTGCTTCTTTACAGGAACAAACACACACCAGAAATCCCTTGGTGGAACAGATGCCAACACATAAAAACTGTCTATAAGTATCAATACGGAAAAGAAGTACAGATAGAGCACCTGTGCTTCTCAATATGTGTCCATGCAGCATCATCCAGTTTGACTGCAGCTGATTGACCAGAATCAATGGAGTCTCGAGATCTCTCCTCATTGTTTGAATGGACCCTGTTTCACTCAAAAAGAAAATCACGTTCAAGCGAGATAATGATAAATGGCACATTACAATGGCTATAAATGACAAAAGAGCCATGCAGGTACCCGACTCTTCTTCTCAGTCCTTCAGAAGCAGAACTCACACTGTCTTCTGCTTTGGGAGTTCCGCTGCTCGAAGTCTCAGCCACAGGTTCCTCAGGTGTTTGCACATCAGACTGGATTTGCTTAAACGACAATAGCAGATCATTGATATGTTAATCATACAAATAGAAGCAAAAACATTTACGACAGACTACTTGCGTATGACTATACAAGTTGATCTAATATAAGTTGAAAGATAGACTCCAGAAGAGAAGATTGAACCACGTTCAAAGACATCAATAGAACGGAGTTCTGGAAACAACAGTAGCAGTAAGGCCAAAAGAATGGTGAAGTCTGAAATGCTGAGTACTATGGACTAACAATGCAAATAATGCACTAAACTTCAGTGACAGCCTATTGATAAAAAAAATGCCAGCTCTTTCATATTCCGTAAAAAACAGTAAAATACCTCCATATGATATGTTTTCGTATAAGAAAGCAAGGTGAATCGGAATGATAAATCACAAAAAATGAAACTAGCTTGCGCATACCATGGGCATAGCTAACTTGGCAGCAATGACTTCAATGTTCTCTGCATATTCGTTCACCTTGGCTTTTGAAACTCTGTTTTGGGAAACAACATGAAAATTGAACGCAAATCAGGAAAAAAGCATCTGGTAACTTAAAAAAAAATAAGAGACCACTAAGAATATATACCCCGGCAAGCAAAGTTAATAAACATTTAAAACATTCTCCTGGTGCAGTAGATTAAGAAAAAGTAAAGTTATCTGTGGAATGACCAGGGATGCATGAAAGGAATTATTGTCCTCCTGTGGTATGGCACTGCACACCACCAAATGGTCAGCACAAAGATTACTAATCCCATCATCATGACTTCCAGTGTCACAGTACTAGGCTATAAGCCATGCTCAGGATGCAGATTTTTCATTATAGGCAGGATATTTGTCCACGGACTCAAAAATATAACTGTAATATGTCCAACTTTGGAGAAGTGTAGGAGTTGAGAGTGAAAGAGGGTGATTTTCCTTTTATTCGATCCTGAGAAGGTTTCCAATTTATTACTTAGGTAGAGTGAAATGACTAGGCAGCATACATTTAAATTTAAACGATAACTCCAACTAAAGAAACAGAACGCAGGGACTTTATTAAAAAAATCACCGAAGGTAAGGAAGGCAAAAGTGCTGGAAATTTGTGTAGCAACATGTAATTTTATTCAAATTATATAATTGGAAAAGAATAAAGCATATAGACCTTGGTAATCCGTCTGAATTCCTCTCTTCAGCCACCTGCTCCAGCAGTTCACGCAAAGTAGCAACATACTGTGAAAGATGTAACAAACAGAAATAATAAATGCATATCCCTGTTGAAAGAAAAATCGAGATGACAAAAATTGCACAATTCCCTACATTAGCAATTGCCTATGCCATGATTTTCTGAAAAGCTTTTCATAGAAACAACCTATGTCACAGTTTGCAGCTGCGTGCACGTAGAATTATTAACTTTCACAAATAACAACTATGTCAGAGAATATACAACTGAAAGGGAAAAGATCAGATTCCTGAAACAAATAGTATCTACCCGAGACATCAAAAAATCAGTTTGATGCATGTTAATTCCGAAGATTTGGGGAGACAAGGAGGTATTACTATGACTCTCTATCTCTTATCCTATATCAGATTTTTTTTTAAAAACAGTAGATGGATGAGTCATCCTAAGCCATGTTTATCCTGGATATCGTGATATTGCAGTATTACTAATCTTAATCACCATGTCGAGATCAGAAAAAAGTACTTTTGCTCCAAACAAAATTTTTTACAGGTAAAATGTGTTGAAGGCATGCAAGTGGGGTGCAACATTGTATACAAAATTTGTATGCAAAGTCTGCGTACATCTTACCCTCACCAAACCCCACTTGTGGAAACTCACTGGGTTTGTTGTTGTTGTTGTTGTTGTTAAAGTCCGAAAAGATGTATACTTAGAGAAGGCAAGTATTTTATACCAGTGCACTCCAGTCCAAATACTGAACCCCTAGAACACTATGACTGGACTACACTCTTACCAACACTAACTAAAATAGGAGGAAGTATATTTAACAAGCGGACAGAGTTAACCATTAGTCCTCTCTGTCCATCAAATGCACAATGGTTCATCTCTTTCCAAACGGTCCATATAAAATTACTTGAGGAAAGACCCACTTAATCAGTAGCATTATGCCTTTATCTGATATTAACCCAAAGTAGGATGAAAATACATAGCCTTTTTTAAGGATGAATTCATATGGGGATTGGACAATGGAAATCCCCGTCATCCTCCATTGTCTTAGTGAATCAACAGAGCTACTAGTTCACTCGAAGCTGCCCAAATATTTAAAGCTTCCAAAATACAAAGAAGACATACTTTTAAATGCTCACAGCCCCCACAGATAATATGAGCTCCATTAAATAGCACAATTTTTTAAATTCTTAAAAACCTCGAGCAAAATAATCAACAAGATGAAGAGAATTTTTTTTTAAAAAAAAACAAAAGCATATAGCTACTGAACTATTGTTAGTCAAAGAAACCTATTAGGTTCTTTTACACAAGCCTAGTGTTTCAAAGTAAGTTTCTTAAAGCATATCATCAAAGTCACAGAAATAAGCCTCTTAATAGCTCAGGAAAACAAGATGACCAAACATCCTTTTTGTGCATTTATAACATGTGATTCAGGTCTAAAAACACTTTTCCAAATGAGATAACCAGATGTACCCACACTCAAAGACCAAAACATGAAATTAATTACAAAAATCCATATTAGAGTATAGGCATGTCATAGTGATCAGAAAGTTTAAATCTTTAAGGACTAGAATCATCTGTACAAGAATATAATATCTTAATATATATCTAAAAAGAAGAAAAAAACAGCACAATGGAATCAATGATATGATAAACTCATCATATTCACGACCAGTCTCACATAAATGCAACAAAAAGCACCCAAGCTATTTCGAAGAATGAAAAGAAAAATGAGAAAATGCAACCATCATTACTTTATAAAGAATCGAACTTGCATGATATATGCACTTACATGTATAAGCTTTGCTTGATTTTGCTGTTGTGGTGCAGTTACAAGTAATCTCTTCAAGTTCACTTCAGTTTTGCTCAACCCCATGACACCCCTCTAAAATACTTTCTGCCAATAGAATCAAGAAAGTCAATCTTCCAGACCCCATCCGTTATCTAGTGAAAAATGTACAACAATATGCCAACTTTCTACTCATCACAGCAGATTTCTTTTATATATATATAATTTTCATGGTCTAGCTCTATCACACACTTCTAGACATATTCTTCAAATGTTAAAATTACGAACTAAAAAGAAGTGTACATAGTCCTAGTTAAGAAGTTCCTCTTTTTCCCACTTCAATTGCCCAAATAATCACATATTCATGTATTTCTAATTCGAAACAAAGTAATAACTGAAACAGATAACTACAATCAACTCCAGTACATTACAAATGCACAATGGGTCAACAAAATGAAGAAGAACCCACTTGAATGCATATTATAATCAACTCCACTAATTAGTCAATCCAATCGCACAGAGAAAACAGAAAACCAAGAAAACATTTATAGAACTCAGTTGGATTTCGTATAAATTGTGTCTTATTCGTTAACACCCATTTGGATTTCGTAATAGATTTTGTTCATTTCACTCCCAAATCTAATGTTCGCGACGAAAAAGAAACAGAAACAAAAAAAAAAAAAAAA